GAGGCTATAACCCAATTTCCCCATGTGATAACTGAAGCAGAACAGACCCAGAGAAGGACTCAACTATTTGATGAAAGCACCATAAGCCAGCCAACGTTTGGGCCTTATTTCTGTTGACACTCCTCAATGTGGAAGTATAGTTATCACCTCATTACAGTTATAAGATATCACTTCAGATCAGCATTATGTTGATGATATATGAGTTGTTCTCAGAGAAGCCTCATAAAGAGAGTTAAAATGTAGTGCCACCCTGGCTGGGCAGCTTAGTTCGTTGGAGCATCATCCTGTATACCAAAAGTTTGTGGTATACAGGATGATTCCAGTCAGGACACATATCTAGGTTTCAGGTTTGATCCCCAATGAAGCTGTGTACTAGAGGCAACTTAGCAATGTTTCTCTCTCTCTCTCTCTCTCTCTCTCTCTCTCTCTCTCTCTCTCTCTAAATATTAATAAACACTAATGACCTGGTGCATGGATTTGAGCACATTGAAAGGAAATTAATTAGTTCCTCTGAGGCAGAGACTAATGTAGGTGGTCCCTGGGCAAGATGGGCTGGGCATCCCTGGAGCCAACCTCCCATGGTCCCTCCCTAGCCAGTCACATCTGGGCTGGTGCTGCATTTTGAAGGGCATTTGTGGAGTGACTGAGGTCCCTCTGGCAGGTGAGATTCCTCGACCTGGCCTCTGGGGATCAAGCAGAAACCAGCTTTCTGACAACCCCCAAGGGTCCCGATTGTAAGAAGAATCATGAGGAATCAGGACCACTCCTCTCTAGTTCCGGGGCTTGTCACCCAAGAACTGCTGCCGGTTGGACAGTCGCTTTTATAGATAGATAAATATAGATATAGATAGATATAGATATAGATATAGATATAGATATAGATATAGATATAGATATAGATATAGATGATATAGATAGATATAGATGATATAGATAGATATAGATATAGATATAGATATAGATATAGATATAGATATAGATATAGATATAGATATAGATATAGATATAGATATAGATATAGATATAGATATAGATGATATAGATATAGATAGATCTTTGGGTGAAGATTTAAAAAAAAAAAAAGGTAGAGTGCCATAGCTTGACATCATATTTAATGATTTAATGATGAAAGACAAGTTTGTTTGTTTTTTTCTCCTAAAGTCAAGAATAAGAAAAGAAAGTCCATTTCATCACTTCTGTTCAACACTGTAGAAGAGATTCTAGAAAGAGCAATTAGGCAAAATGAGAAAATGCATCCATATTGGAAAAGGAAGAAGTAAAACTATATTCATAGATGAGAAAATCCTAAAGAATCCACTAAAAACTAGTAGAATTAATAATTGAGTTCAGCAAAGTTGGGGATACAAAATCAATATACAAAAAATCAATTATATTTCTATATGTTATCAATAAATAATTCAAAATTAAAGTTAAGAAAATAATATTTGCAATAAAATAATTATAAACAAATTTAACAGAAGATGTGCTGGAACAATTAAATATCCACATGCAAAAAAAAATTTTTTTGGACCCCTAATTTACATAAAAAACAAAACTAACTCAAAATGGATCATATATCTAAATCTAAGAGCTAATACTATAAAACTTATAGAAGAAAATCTAGGAGTATAGCTCTATAACACTAGATTAGGCACTGGTTTTTTAGATATGACACAAAAACACAAGTGACAAAAGGAAAAATAGGTAAACTATATCACAAAACATATGCTTCAAATTACACCATCAATAAAATTTTTAAGTCCATAGGAAGAGAGAAAATATTTATAAATCATATTATCTGACAAAGGGCTGGTGTCCAGATTATATAAGTAACTCTTTCAAACATAAACAAACAACAATAAAAAAGACAATTATTCAGTTGAAAGGAAAACGTTGGGCTAAAGATTGGAATAGATATTTTCCTAAAGAAAACATAGAAGTGGCCAATAAGCACATGAAAAGATGGATAACATCATTAGTAATTAGGAAAGTAATAATTAAAACCACAATGAAATACCACTCTACACAACTAAGATAGATAAAATAAAATAAAAAGACAACAAGTGTTGGTGAGGATGTGGAGAAACTGGAACCCCCATGTATTGCTGGTTAGAATATAAAATGGAGCAATCACTTTGGAAATTGATATGGCAGTTCTTCAAAATGTTAAACATAGAGTTACCATATGACCCAGTATTTCTACTCTTATGTATATATCCAAGAGAAATGAAAACATACATCCACAAATATGTATAGCAGCATTATTTATAATAGCCCCAAAAGTGGAAACCATCCAAATGTCCATCAACTGATGAATATCTAAACACAATGAAATATATCCAAAATTCAGAACATTACTTGGCAATAAAAAAAAAATGGAGTACTGATATAGCTACGACATGGATGAATCATGAACACATTTTACTAAGTGAAAGAAGCTAAATACTACATTTTGCATGGTTCCATTTATAATATGAAAGTCTAGAATAGGCAAATCTATAGAAGCAGAAAATAGAGTAGCTGCTTCCCAGGGCTTTCTTGTTAACTATTGGATCTAGGGTTTCTTTGGGGGAAGATAAAAATATTTTAAACGTAAACTGTGGCAATGACTGCACAAATCTCTGAATGTACTGAAAATCATGAATTGTATACTTTAAATGGGTGAATTTTATGGTCTAAGAATTAAATCTCAATAAAGATGTTTTTTTTTTTTTAATGAACTTGATATTTTTTTAAATAAAAAATAAAAAAAAAGCAATGGGCCTGGGAGATCAGGCAGAGCTGATTTTGATTACCAGTTCCCACACAATTAGCTATGTGATCTTCAGCAAGTTCCTAGACTACTCTGGACCTTAATAAATGGTAGTTTTTATAATTCAGAAGGAAAGAAAGTAATAAGAGGTGGGAATATGCAGCCTGAGGATTACAATGAAGGCATAGGTAATCTTCCGGGATGAAAGAAGCCCATCGAAGTTTGCCTGCTAAACTTTGATTTTTAGTCCCTGTCTATTCCCTAGAGGAAGGTACTTTTTCTAAATATCCCACACATGATGGTGCCCCAGGGCCATGTCGTGTAGTGAGTACGGACCACAGTTCTTCCCGTATGCAAGAGCAGCATCCCTCCCATCAGGCAGCACTACATGCTCCTCCCTCCCTCATCTTACATCTTTGGCTAGGTTTATAACAAAAACAGAAGCATTTACACTATTAACAGAACTGGGGGGAATACAGAAGGATGCTAACAGTCAAATTCCAGGCCATTTTAATCTTACACTGCTCATTTGGGAAGGTCATTCCCACCTCCACCCTGCCCTGGTGTTCATAAAGCATTGAATGCTTTGAGCTTTGTATTCTCAATGGTGTAATGAAAATAGATGTTGAATGCTAAAACATAAACATATGTATCATTTATAATGCATTCAGATGTTTTTCAATTATTCATGGTTCCTGAGAGTTACTTGACCTATCATGCATATATATCCAAGCAATGTTTGTATTAGAACCATAGCCTCAATGTATGCAATCCCAGCTCCTTGACATTCCTGTCTATGGAATTAAAATTAAATGAGTCAGTGATCAATAAAAGCTACATGTGATTTCCATAAAATTATCTATTGTATATTGCTCTGGGGTGGAGAAAGAAGCTGACAAGACACAGATTGCTTGCTTTCAGATGAGGGAGTGGTGATAATTACTCTTTCCTAAGAATGAATTCATTATTTCCCTGAATAACTGGTGGTCCAGGACTTAACTTGCTGTCAAGGAAAAAAAAAATAACTCAAAGGGCCACCCTCTTTCTGTTCAAAGTCCCATTTTCTTTAAAATAAAATTTAAAAAGCAAGTGTTCTGGGCTCAAAAACAACACATTCTTCTGTTTTGATGCTTGAATAAATTTGCATGTTAACATGAATGGTTTCAACTTAAAGAATGTCAAATTAAATACAATTTGAATTCAAACCCAAGATGGAGAAAATATATGCACAAAACAGCAGATTTTCAATCTTGTCGATTTTTTTTTCAGGAACCAGATTAGGAAAGACATAAACACACACACACACACACACACACACACACACACACACACACACTTGGTTTCAAAGAAGGGTGGCACTCAGAGGAGACAGGCACTGCCAAAGTGGAGCCCCCTCATTGTACCCCCACCTCACACACAACAGGAGTATTTACAAATCACAGCACAAATTCTAAAGTTCTGATTCAATGTCTGAATGCCACTATAAAACTCAGAAATACAACTCAGAAGCCATGTTCACCATCACATTTCTACTTTTGGAGGCCTACCCAGGTAAGATGAAATATAAGGAACATTATATGAGTAGCTCAAGCAAGTGCAGGCATGAATTTTCTTCTTTTGGTCCTAAGAGCCATTTCTTCCTTTATCCTCATTGCACTTAAACAGGATATAAAGTGGTTAGATTTATATACTGTTGGCAATGGGTCTGGGTTGAAATCCCAGATCCCCTCATTTACTTGCTGGGTAAACTCTGGCAAATGACTTAATCTGTGGACATACTTTTTTTAAATTAGTTTTCATTTACATATAATAATGCCAGACTCATAAATTTATTGTGACAATAAAATAATATAAGGTGCTTAGTACAGTGCCTTGCTTAGTGCAAGCAAGCATTCAATAAAGGTTAGCTGTCATTGCTGGTTGGTATGGTTATTATTATTATTATATATTTAGGTGATGGAGTCCAGCGGAACCAGGCCTGACAACAGTTTCTTTCTTCTCCAACCTGCTCTCTGATATTGTCCAGATACCATCCAGGAAAGAGACAAATCAAGTCATGGCAAAAGCCTGCTACCTATGAGCTCTGACTGCAGGACAATCAGAGACGTCATGCTCTCATTTCATCCTGTCTCACCTCTGTCAACCCCTTCTCACAGCCCAGTCTCTGTCCATGAAGGAGTTCCCAATGAAATGACAACATGATCTTAATAAATAAAGAGGACAGTGAGAAAAAGCACCAGCATCTTACTTCATCCTCACTCTCAAGCATGTTGGTCCCCAATTTCTGGACAACAGTCTGGTCACTCTTCTTTAGCAACTTTTCTCGAACTTTGGTTTCATACTCAGGCCGGGAGTGTTCCTAAAACCCAAGAGTCAAAGAGTAGTTAGTAAACAGGCAGAATAGCAATATTGGCCTGTGGGTTACAACCAGACACCACAAGTACAGTAAAGTCAGGACATAGCATCAGATTCTATTGGACATAAGCTGCCACATCACATATAATCATGAGGAGTCTAGACCAAGAACACAATATGGGAGAGAAAGGGGACACACAACACTTGTTACCACACTGAAAACCAAACCTGGGCACGTTCCTGGGGATGGCACCAGTGTTGAGAAAGCAGAAAGGAAGTGTTAACTTGGCAGCTGATACAAAGAGAAGCCACATGCTTTGCATAGCAGTTTGACCAAAGCCAGAGGGATTCATCTGTTTATCCCACCAACTATCTGCATACCTGAAACTAGCCAGATCCCAGCTGAAGAAACAGATGTGCCCCACAGCTGGGAGTTAGGGCAACGACAAAACTTCCTCCCTGTTCTATTATTCTACAAGCTAAAATAATGACTAATAAAAATCAAAGTTAAAGGTGGCCATAAGGAATCCTAAAACTCACTTGCCTGGGCCTGTTTCCTGTACAGCCTAAATGATTAACTCATTGGCAAGTACACCAGTGCTCAAGATATATCACTGAGCCATTCAGCAATACAAATATGAATGGTGAATCACCAGGCATGGGAAAGCACACCTAACTAATCAAGAAGACCATGGTCAAATCAAGTTAGATGCTAGAGCAGGAAGACGCATGACTGACTTCAAGGAGAATTTAACTGTGCACACCTGGACACATTGGCAGGTCTTCCCCGAAGCATCCAAGGACAAATAACTATAGGTGTAAGGACTTCATGTTCCTGTATCATTTAAAAATAAATTCTAGGCAGGGATTATAACTCCATCAGAGATTCCAGAAGCCAACAAGCTAGGCTCCTGGCCTGTCTTTGGCTTTTCCAAGATGTGCCATGATGTTGGAGAGGAGAAACCATCTGTGTGACTAATAAACATAACCACATACAACAGGAGATGATGCTATGGAAGTGTTTTTATGGCACAACATCATCAACCAATCTCTTAGGAACAACCAAACCTAAGAGCCACCCCCTGGATCAGTGCAAACTTCTGCCTAAGAGGCCTCCTTGTGGAACCAGCTGAATACCATAAAGACTTCTTGAAAGACTTCTTTGGGTGGGAAACCTGCCAGACCCAAGAGACTTTTGCTCAAAAGTGGGGCAATCTTCAGCTCAGTGAGCCCCTCTTGTCCAATTTACTTCTTTCAGTCAGGCCCTGGGTGCTTCTAGGACATCTTAGCGTGTGTGGCCTCATGTGAATACTCCATCCTCACTGAAGGTAGAATCCATATATATATTTTCTCATTTGTCATGGGATCTATGATGCTGTTAGTCCCAGGGCATATGCTTAATGTAAAGGGCTGGTTAGAGTGAGCATTATGTACTCAATACATTACCGTGCCCATATGCTCAAAGGCAAGCTGACTAATTAGAGCAAGGAGAAGAAATCATACCACAGACATGGAGATCCCACATAGGCTCCAGCACAAGACTAAATTGGAGATTTCACTTGCTTGGCCATAAAACATCAGGGCCACAAAGTCAGAGGTCCTGTGCCCAAGGCAAGGCCCATCAGTTACTATACGAGAGTGTGGAAAAGACCTACTCTCCATGCAGCTACCATATTGCTTATGATATCCTTAGCAAGTGGATACGTAGGCACTTGGAAGTGCCTCTGGTCCTTCTAGCCACTGTCTTCAGCACTGCATCCAGAAATGTCCACAATAGGGATAGAATCTATCTGATATTGACATCTGTTCTTCAGTCAATGGGGGAATAGATAACTGAGCAACCATGTCATGCTATTCCTTACCAACTCACCAACATCGAGAATGGGCCCCTAGTTCTTAAAAGAGTCTGGTGGAAAGGCTCATTTCCATCCTTTAACTACAGGTTAAAGCAGGATGTAAAACCATTTTTGCCCAACTGTGTAAGAACCTATCCTTAGCTCATGCTTAAGTTCACATGGTGTACTGGTTTACACTGTAAAGGTCTAGGGGTTTTCTTCTTTTGTGAGCATCAAAGACAACCAGCACCCATGTCTCTCCCTTGACCCTCAGAAGGCTTACAGAGGCATTCTGCCATTCTCTGCTCTGGGAGAGATTCCTATTTTCTTGATTTATGCTCACTTATGCTACATCTCACATCACAACCAAAGATATGAGATGTAGAAGTATGTTGAATGACATCTCAAGGCTACCACAAGGCTTGCTTCTTGTGCCATCTATTTTCCAGAGAGGGACACTGGGATCTCTGGCTACCTACAAGGACAAACCTCTTACAGCTTAAGAGTAGAGAGGAAATTTGAATTATTAGTCTCAGTGCATATCAATCACAGCTTAGCTCATAAAGCCAAGCTAGAAGAGCTGCCACAGTGAGGCCTGGCCAGTGACTGGCTGATGTTACAGTGTACATACATGGTCATTTCATTCAAAATGGCCTATTTGTAGCATCAAAGCAAAGCAAGGACCAAGAGAAGCATGCAAAAGAACTCACTTCTTCCTCTTCTATACCAGTCAGGTCCCAGAAGTAGCCCAATCGCATCTGTAATCTCTTCCAGTTTTCAAGAAACATGGTAGCTTAAAAGGAAAGAAAAAATTCTGTCAATTTTGAAGAATAGATTTTAACTATTCTTTGGTGGAAAAGAATAAACTTATAAAATTCAAATTTAGGAGTTTTCTTTAAATTTGTATTTCTTTCCTCCTACTTCTATCTGGAATGGCTCTAAATATTCCACATCCTTAAAAGCCGAGGACACACTCACACACACACATATCTTTCCCCACTTCTAGGTTATGAGAAGAGGGTAAACATGATCTCAAGAAGTGAGGAAGGGTGGCAGAATAAATAAAATAAAAATGAGTTTGTAGACATTTTCTGACAAACTTCATTTTGTCTATGAATACATTCATTATTCATATATCTTCCTCAACACTCTCACTTTTTTCTCTCCATTTTTTTTGTCCCCAACACCACTTCCCTTCTGTGGGCCCTAATATTTGCATTCTGAGATTATGTAACAGTCCCCTAATAGTTCTTCCTAACTCCAGAGTCTCAGCCTTCCAACCCACCTTGCATGCAGCTGATAGATTAATCTCCCTTAAGTGACATTCATTAATCCATTTCTTAGCCAATATTTGTTGAATGCCTATTACATATACACATCTGCTAGTCTGCCTGCCCCCTTGAAGGGCCAGCCAATGTGCTCCAGAAAGACCAACAACCTCTACTCCACAGCCATGGTCTATGATACCAGGGTTGAGCTTCTGATCTAGAGCCTGCCAATGGACCAGATTCCCACTTTTGAAAACTGAAACCAAAAAACATGAAGAGAAGCAGAAAAGGCATAAACCCAGCAGCACGTAAAAAAATGAACAAGGCCTGTGATTTCTGATAGCAACTCCAGCTCCAGTTCCCCAATGACCTGGCTATATTTCTTGCATCCATGAACTTGCTTCTTGCCTTATTAAAATAAATCTCTTGTTATTTGAGAGAACTTGAATGAATTTTTAATCCTGAAAAAAGAACTATGCCCAGTTAAGGTATCTGCAACACAGAACAATGTTCTAGGCATCATGAAGGGGATGAGATGACTCTGGTGTGGATTTTGCTCTCAAGATGTCTACAGTCTATGTGGGGAGGTTTTAAATAACTACAATACAAGGCATACAGTGACTGGGTCTCAAAAGGATACAGATACAATGCTGTGGACATGCAGGAAAGGAATTATTAGCTGCCAGAGAAGGCATTTGAGCCGAGTCTTGAAGAGCAATAGCATTCAGGCAGTAAAGAAGATGTGGAGAGAGGAAGGATGCCCTATGCCCCTATTCCTCACCCCTACTGAAACTTTCAATGGCTATTTATGACCTAAGTTCTCTCTGGATACTGAAACCTTGTATATCTGGCCAGATTGACCTAAATCCATTCCCACCATTTATCAACGTACACCTTATGCCTGCATTGCTGCTGACACCATCTCCTCCCTGTCCTCTTCATTCCTAACTTGTGCAAATTGTCCCCTTGTCCTATACTACTAACCAATGTCTACCTTCATCCTTTCATGACCAGCTCAAGTCCCACTTCTTTCCTAAGATCAAACTCAAGGGTACTCACTCCTCTACACTCCTACTGCCCTTAAGTTCTGCTGCCTGGAAAGGGAAGGGATATGGCCCTCCTTGAAGCCGCCCATACACCTCTACACATGATAAGAATCTGGGTGCCCTTCATTGTATGCTGTGCTGAACTGTTGGCTGCCATTCAGGTCTATTGTATAGTAATAGATCTGTAAACTTTCTTGACTCCTAGATGCCTGTTTACCTCGGGCACAGCACACAACTGAGCATAACCATGCACTTGTTAAATATACAATTACTTAAAGCTTCATTTGCTTTACTTGGTACAAAATGACAGTGTACAGATCTCTATGTTTTCTTCTCTGACTAGCGGATTTTTCATGTAAGTGCATCCTGACCTCCCAACACTGGCATCACCCTGGGGATGCTATGAGACCAAGAAGGATGTTACTCTTCTCAGTGCTTGAGGAAAATTCTGCAAGGTTAGAATTTTCTGATAGAAGTTAGACAGTGGGAATCAGCAAGAGAAACAAAAGAGTCATTGAAAGATGAGCCATGAGGACAAGGGAGGGCCAAACAAACACCAATGAAGAGATGCTCAAACTTTCTGATGCATATTATGTGTCAGGCACTGTGCTAAGTGCTTTGTACACATATCTCACTCACTAGTCACAGAACATTATGGGACAGATATTACTTCACCCATTTTACAGATGAGGACAATGATTCTCAAGGGTTAAGTGTTGTGTCCCAGGTTACATTGGACCTTGGGTATTAATTTCAGCAACCCAATGCTAGATTCACATTAGATTGCTATGGGAGCCGCACATTAGCCAGTCCCCTAAGTAAAAAAAAAAAAAAAAAAAAAAAAAAAAATCTATCTATCTATCTATCTATCTATCTATCTATACCCTGTCCCTTTTCTTTTTAATAGGGCTTCAATCTTTTTCCAAAGTTCCCTGGAGTTTGAGGCCAGAACAGCAGAGAGGCTAGAGTTTGAGGCCAGAACAGTAGAGAGGCTAGAGTTTGAGGCCAGAACAGCAGAGAGGCTAGGCCCTAAGACTCCAACCAGGTTTCTCTGTCTAGTACCTTCCATGAACCCCCTATCTCAACAATCCGCTCTCCCACTTCACAATAGCCTGAGTCTCTTTCTGTGGAGAATCACTTTTTCTTCCCAGCCTTATTCTTGGCAGGCCTGGGCCCTGGCCCAGGCCCACCCAGCAAAGCACCACTGATCATAATAATCATGGTAACAAGAAGCATTATTATGATTTTTAATTGCAACATGTAGGCAATCATGCCCAGGGGCTCTTGGCTGCTGTTACTAAATATACAATCACATAAAACATAGCAAGGCTGTTAAAAAGACAAAACCAAACTCTACCTTTTGCCAGGAAGCTCTGACACAATCTCACCCTTTTTGCTTTCCCTACACTACTATCTGAGAGGAAGAGAGAGGAGCCAGGGATGAGGGTAAAAAATTATTAGGCTCTCAGGAGGGGTGAGAGGTACTTGTTCATTACAGCTATTGAGAGAGAAGAGACAGTTGTTGGGGCATGAAAGTGGGCAAGTAAAAATGAAAACCAAGTTTCTCTACAACAAGGAATTAAGCAGCTCATCAAAGTTCTTAAGGATCATGGGCCCAGTGTTACTAAGCTACAGCTATTCAATCACCATAATAGCTGCAAGACAAATCAATGGCATTAGAATTGCAACATATCAAAATATGAATGCACATTCTGAATTCCAAGTCCATTCAAGTGGATTTGTGAGTAATTACAATGATGCCCTTGCTGGATGAGGAGACAGAACTCCCTGACTTCCCAGGTAACAAATTTCAACTTCTGTCTGTTTTACTGACCATTCGTGTGAATATTTTCAGAGCTTTATTGTCACAAGTGCCTTTTCCTCCTGCCTCATTCTCATGAACTGACCACTGCCTGTATGTTCTGGGTTGCAGGTGTTTTCCCTGAGAGTAGAATGGCCCTGGAAGTTGTCCCTGATGGCCTAGGAATATGGAAATCTTTCTAGTCTGGTTCTATCTCCACCCAAGTAGTCTGTGATCCAATTGGGAAGCTAAGGGCTTGCATATCCATGATGAGTAAAAAGCAGGTGGCTACTCAAGATGGGCTGAAACATGTCGACTTAGTCTCTTTTTTTAATACACGTGGGTGTGCCTTCTTGGAAATGCTCAGTTACCACAAGGTTGTTATTCCAATTTATCCCAGTTTGTAAAAATACAAGTGTGTGTGTGTGTGTGTGTGTGTGTGTGTGTGTGTGTGTGTGTGTGTTTGTGTGGTGTCAGATGGCTATGGCCTAGAGAAAGTTTATTACCCTGATACTCTGGGATGGGCGGGACAGAAAGGAGGAGAAAGACAATGAAGGAATTCTTTGCTCTTTCCTTCACAAATCCCTTCACAAAGTAGAATACTGAAAACACCACTGTGGTATTAAATAAAATCTCTCCAGTCTATACTCATGGTATCCTAGAAATTACACTGAACCTGGAGTCAGGATACCAGGTATAGGCCCTTTACAACCAGCTAACACTGTGACCATGGACATGATCCCACCAATCTGCTATTTTGGGTGATAGCTATGACCTTATATGTCTTAGATGTTCCTGAAGGTGCATTATGGCTGTGCTGAGTTTTTAAAATATTCACTGATTCAAATTTTGAATAAATCATACATGAGACTAATACAAGGTTACTATTACTGTATTTTTAAATATATACATATATATAGCCATGATAATATCCCTAGTTCTATTTATATATATATATATAAGTAAAAGAGGTAAACCTATTATCCCTAAGATACTTCTTGAGATACAAGGACTAAATGCTAAAGAAAATAAACTGAAGGATGTGGCCATTAGAGCATTGGTCACTGTACCTATTTCAAGGTACTGCTCATATAAGTGAGTCTCATGATAACCACTTACCCCACAGAGCCATGAAGATGGAGAAGAAGACAGTGGCAGGATTGTCAAACAGGTGGCTGGCCCGCGCTGTACCACAGGCTGAGCTGAGGTTCCAGTAATCACAGGCCTTGTCACACAGGGGACACATGGTGAAGGCGTTCTGCTGGTCACACATCTCTTTGCTGAAGTAGATAGAGGCTACTGAATCAGATGGAGCTCACACAGAACCCACCCCCAAACAAATCACTCCCAAGACATCTCCCACTTCTGAATCCATGGCTGAGCTTATCAATGCCATATATGAGGTGTGTTAAAGAAGGGATTGGATTTTTCACTTTGAGAGTGTTATTCTTCTGTTTTGTCAAAAAAAAAAAATAGATGGGCCACCTTTTGAGGTATGGAGCCCACGCCATTAGAAGTGCCCCAACAGAAAGTTAGTGATCATCTGTCAAAGATGTACACTGAAAGATCGCTTATAAAACCCCCTTCAAAATGTGTGGAGTATATGAGGTTGATGGGAAGCACCAACAACTGTGAATAAATCACCCACCTGAACTTAGATTTCATCATTGTTCAAGCATAGACTGTCTTCTTAAACCTACAGGCTGTCTTTTAAATGTGTGACACTGGTCACAAGCTCTTTCTTCTGGAAGAAGAAGCTATGTGAAGAATGGAGTCAGATCTGAATTGGAAGACTTTTTCTAAGTACATCTGCATTTGTAGAATGGGGATTAATAACTTCAACCTAATAAAAATTATCATGGCCATGAAATGGGATTAGGGGAAATGAAAGAATGAGGTAATTTTTTCCAAAGTCTAGATTCTATGATCTTCAAGAGAGAAGCATGAGTCAAATAACCATCGCCTATATTCTAACTGATTCTCAGTACATTTCTATTTAATGGGCTGATGAATATATTTGAAATTCCATTCCTTCATTAGGTAGTTAGCTGAATCCAATGAACTTAGGCTCATATGAATGCTTATAAATAAGAACCAAGGAACTACCAGCCCTAACTGGCCTCCTAATATCTCTCCACACCATATATTGGCAGGAAAAGTAATGAACTTATTATACTGGTGTGTGATAGTCCTCCTGGGGAATGGGTAGAAGGTTAGGCTTTTGGTTTGGAGGAAAATGATGGAGAACTCAAGATTTCATGAAAATGAAGCACTGGGGAGGTATGGGACCCCACACTGGAAACCACAGCTGTTTTCTCCAGAAAGAGGCAGCAGAGGGAGCTACAGAGCATGGCTGGCAAGTGGAAGGCCACTGCCAGGGTGAATAAGCTGGTACTGTGTGTGTGTTAAACAAGTGCTTAGGTTTAACCCAGAAGTCAAGGGATGCCTGGTTTTGGCTTCTTTTATTAAGAAGTTGAAGGATTTAACTGAGGGCTTATCACTCTCTGTCAAATGCCAGCTTTCACGCTCGCTTTTAATGAGCTATTAAGTCCACAGCAGGGAAAGGCCCATGTGAGAGAATGGAAACTAGGTCTCTAAGGATAAACCTTGGTTCCTCCACTGACTTGCTGCTAAGCTCTCCACTGGCAAGTGTCAATAGCAGTGACTCATTCACATCCACAACATTAAAGAGTAACATCTTATTAATAAGTTCGGCTGTGCTAACTTCACCTGGGCATATTCTTTTTGTTCACTCGAGAGCCTGGTTTATTTTAAGTCTTCTGGGTTAGATAAGTATTCTCTGTGTAGTTGAGAAGGAGCTGGCTGTTTTCAGAAAGGAGAGGACCCTCTTGGAAAACAAATTCACACAAAAAATTGTTGGTTTGTATAAATTCTAGTAAAGCGCTGTGCTTTGAAGCTGTGTCTGAGAAGGGACTTTGTTCTTTAGGGGATTTTTTTACACACAGGTTGTGGGGAGGGATAACCCTAGTCACCCTAATGTTAATCATATCTAGTCAGTACTAAGAGGTCAGGAATGAAAAAGTATTAGCAACCAACTTGGTGCAAAGCATTTTGAAACTTAAGTGCTATGTAAATTACTGGTTTTAAAATTAGAGTACAGTCAATTATCAATCATTTGTATAAAATTACAGATACTCCCCATATCATTTAAATTGGAAGTCAGATGTTTTGTAGGTATTGATGGTTGTTTTTGGTTTTGGTTTTGAATGCAAGCAATTTGAACACAATTCTGAAAAAATTCTACCTCAGGGTGACAATCGAATGACTGAATTCTCTAGAAAAGCTGAAAGATGAGGGAAGCTCACCTAGAATTGAAATCATGTCTAGATTATTCACTGGCTGCATAATCTACAGATTGCTAGTTAGAAGTAACTGTGGCTATAAATCTACTAGTGTATTTCTTCGACCTATCATTTCTCTAGAAAGCATAGGTTAATGTAAAAACCCAGCGTGAGTGGTTTTCTCAATGAGTGACTCATGGCTCACAGGTTGGGTGGTACAGGACTGTGCTAGCAGAAAGAGAGGAGGTGCAATGAAGCAATTATTCAGACAGAACATCTGTTATTAAGGTTCAGACCTAAAGTAACCAATTTTTTTCCAATATGGTTTAGATTAATCAGCTTTTTAAAAATGCTCCAGTCTTTCTTACCCATGTAAGCAAATGCCTAACAAATGGAACCAATCCCTTGGTGAGGAGAGGAAAGTTCTATAGATGTATCATGCACATATGGAATTATTACTTACAAATGATACTTGTATCTCACATATCAAAGTTATTGGCAATAAAAGGTACCATTTAAAGTTCCACATAATATAAATTTTCTGGTTTTGATTTTGTACTGTAGTTATACAAGATATAACCCTCAGGGGAAACTGGGGAAAGGGTAGATTGCACCTCTCAGTACTATCTTGGCAACTTCCTGAATCTACAATGTGTTCAAAATAAAAAGATTTTAAAAAGTGATACATAGGTAGTAACTTCCCAGCTTAATGCCAAAATTAGAAACCTCTGAAAAAATTCCAGGAATAGTGCAAGTTTTTAATTATGCTTAGGAGTGGATGGTAGACACAAAGTCTGAAAAACATGTGAATTTATTTAGATTTAGTATTGGGTTTTGGAGGCCATTCCTTTGTTAATAGGAGTGATATTTTATGAGTTTCCATCAGGCCCACAGAGCTTGGACTTTTGATGGGTATACAATTCTGATTTAAGAATAGTGCTTTAAACAATTCTTCACAATATAATTAATTTTTTCTATCATTTATACCTTCTTGATTTGTCATATCTTATCACGAATCTGAAAAAGTGACAAACAAAATTTCAATTTTTAAGAGTCAATTTCAAACTTTTTGACTATAACCTACAATTTTAAAGTCTTTTATATCATATTCCAGTAGGAAAAAAATGTACATATCATCTTCTTAGAAACATACTCATACAATACTTATACTTTCTTTTTGTGATGAATAATAATATTACACATCATTCTACTATATCTTATCTTCTTCTAGTTCACTTAAAATATAACCATCAAATTGATTCCATAACTCACAAATGGGATGCTACCCATGGCTTTTAAAACATCATACACTCTGATAGGCATCTACAATGATAATAATCACATTTTACATGCCTACATATATGATATGTGCATGTGCATGGATATATGTCTTTGCAGCATGTACAGATGATAGTCAATTCCAGCTGCAATGGTCACTGTCATATGTATTCCTATATGGGCACAAGTTCTAAGTCCTGATGTAAACCAGCATACTGATGCCCCACCCATTATACTGGCATTGGTTCTTTAAGCACAGTATAGTTATTTCTAGTTTTGATCAACCTGGGGTTCAGCTCTCTAGGGATCACAACTGAGCAAGAGAAGCATGGAATCCGTGTTTTCTGAAAATGCATCAGACAAGACTAGTTGAAGTTCTTGGCTGCCAAGGGGAATATGAGCTCTCTGGAAGATTTCACAGCGTATTGGAAAAAGCAAGACTTTGGAGCAGCAGGAAGCCAAATCTCATCCCTGACAATTAGTAGTTGTTGAGGTTGAACAAGTTATATGACCTCATTTATCGTCAATTTCTCCAACTCTTTTAGGTAAGAATAATAACTACCTTATATAGAGTTTACAATGTTTATTTCTACAGCATCAAAGAAACTAGTGCCTAAAACCACCTAGCACCATGCCTGGCACAAGTCGTATTGGCTTTTCTCTGAACCCAGAGGGCAAAGAAGCACTATTTTTAAGTGCTTACATTCTTTGTAGGCTTTCTCTTTCTCATAAGGACTAGACTTTGTTCCATTTCATGGTTCTCCAAGAGCTCCACCCTGGGAACTGTCACCACCTGTAGTTTCCGACTCCTGAACCAGAGGCCTTCTTCAGTTCCAGAGCTGCCTGCTTCTACAGTCTCACAGCATTTTATCCCAACAGTGTTTGACCAAAAGACATGTGATTTTTACCCAATACCTCCTGCTTGGATCTTATGGGAAAATATGGGGGAGGAGGGTGAACCATGAAGGTAAGTGGGGGAAAGCATTTCTCAGGCACAATTTTTTTATCATGCTTTATCCACCTGTCCAAATCAGACCTGGCTCTGGAGAAGAGCTTTACTAGGAAAGAATGTGGGTCGCACCCAGCATGGCTATGAAACCATTCCCAGAATCTGTAGCTCCCAGATCTGGCTTTGGAGAAAAGTTGTGTGTATAATAAGGGAAGAAGAAGGATAGAGGGTGAGGACTTTGGAAGGAGATGTGTGAAATGTACTTGAAACTAAGATGAAAGTCCAAACTACTAACATGGGAATTTAGCCTTTTCTTTAAAATCATCTTACCTGGGAATATCTTCCTCAATTGTTGCACATCCATAAAGAAACACAATCACACCAATTATAGAAGATGGGATGAGGAATGATGTATATAATCCCAGCCAAGCAAAATACAGTCCAATTTTTTCTCCAAAATACTTTCTGGAAAATAAGTTATAACACATTTTAAGAACAACATAGATAGAAAAAGCATCCTCCAGTGAGAATTAACAAAACAAAACAAACAAAAAAGAACATCATATACTTGCCTCATTTCTGTTAGTTCTAAACCTGACAATGGGTCAGCATAAATAAAAAGGAATGGAAGTTACATGAGGAAAGGGGGACCTCAGTACAAGGTTTTTTGTGAAATGAATTACATTTCATTGGAATGATATATACACACCTATCCTGGCTGATCATGTGAAATAGCTACAAGAAGGAATTCAGCCGTAACAGCAAACAAAAAATATTTCATAAATTTAATCATCTTCACCAGACAAACATGAATAACACATCATTTCATGAGTGCCATGAAACCCACAGAAAACTGCTTTTTGAAACTAGCTTATGTAAACAACACACGCAAATTATATGCTTGAGGATATACATGTATGTACACAAATTAACATAAACATACTCAGAAAAATGATTAGAATAAATTTGATAAAATAGTAGTAATATTTTCTTTGGCTAATAAAATTATGGGTTGTTTTTTATTTCTTTGGTTTTATATCTTTCTGATTTTTAATTCTCTACTTATTAATGAATTACTCTTATAATTTTAAAAATGATTTTTTGAAAAGAAAACTTACCAACCCATACCTTTTTTTATCCCCAGCTCATAAAGTTAGTAAATTATCACACTAAGACTCTAAAAAGTTTTTTCTTTAAATAAATATTGGTTATGGACACCTGATGAGAAAAATATAATCCACAGAGGAGCAGCATATTTTATTTCTCAAGTGACTCTGACATAAAATCCAGGAGGGAAATGGGAGCTCAGCCTACTCTGTGATGGAAGCATGAAGAGTGAGAACAGTGAGCAGTCTCTTGTTCCACTACCAGTGGGGCTGGTCTCAGTTAGGATGCAGACAACTGAGGGGAAATGTAGCATCCACCCTAATAACAAGAGAAATGCGGATAATCTGTGAAATCAGAACATTTTTTGAACCCAGCAGAAAGTAGAAGCTGCAAGAAACCAGGTGAACTAAATTTTAAATAGAGAGAAGCCTCTCCAAGGAAAAGTGAGACATATAAACAGCTCCACATTTGGCAGAGCCTGGGAGGAGTGGTCTCTATAAGCATGAGTAAGAAGAAATAGAGAGAAAAATGTTAACTTCTGGAAGGCTGAGTGTAGGTTAGCCTGACAGGTTAGAATAACTGGGAGCTCCAGACATGAGATGAGTTTGCACTCATTCCTAAGATCCTGTCCAACGACTACCACCCAGTAGTCATGAGGAGGATAATGGGCAAGTTAGGAAAATGGAGAGAGCTCCTTTAGTTCCACACACCCACAATAGCCCACCCATCTCCCAGGACCATTTCTCATTCAGATAAAAAACCTAAAGCACTGAATTACAAGGTCAGCAGTCTGCTACTGGGATAGGGGAGCGGGGGCAAAAGGGACACCCCTCTGTGGTAAAGGGCTCCTGAAAACTGAGGGTTTCAGGAACAATGAGAACAAATTCTCAGCCCTCCATGGCCCACACAAACTATATGGTAACAGCGTCCCACGGAAGAAGAAATTTGAACTCTGTGGTCCAGTGAAGATGATGCTAACAATGGTAAAATCCAAACCTAGCTCATCTTCTGACTATATTGACTCCAATTATGTTTGAAAAAAAGAAACCCAAATGACTGATAAACATATTTAAAAAGGGGCTCAACTGCGTTAATCATCAGATCGCCAGATAAATTCAAATAAAATCACAATGCAAGACCTCTACATATTTGTGAGAATGGCAAAATGAGAAAGAAGAAAATACCAAGTGTTGGCCAAATGTGGAGAAACCAGGACACTCACTTGGTGTTGGTGGGATGTATACAGATTGAACCTCTTAGGAAAAACTGCTTAGTGGTATCTACTACAACTGATCCAACAACTCTACTCCTAAGTATATGCCAAATAGGAATGAATATGTGTGCATCAAAAAATATATACAAGAATATTCACAGCAGCACTATTTATAATAGCCTCAAGTTAGAAACTACCCAAATGCCTAGAAATAATAGAACTGATAAATATGTTGTGATATACTTGCCCATGAAAATGAACAAATTACAGTAATTCCCAACAATATGGACAAATATCACAAACATAATGCTGAACAAAAATAAGCCAGATGCTACATAATGTATATACTGTATTTATCTATATGAAGTTCAAAAACAAAATAACTGTGCTAGAAGTCCAGATAGTAATTAGCCTTAGGAAGGCAGTGACTAGAAGGGAGTTAGTGGGGTTAGAAGGGAGAGATCTTTAGGGTACTAATAATGTTTTTCTTTGATCTGGGTACTGGTTGTATGGGTGTGTTCACTTTACAAAAATTCAGCAAGCTGCATATTTATTGTATGTACACCTTTGCGTATGTATAGCATACTTTCATTTTAAAATTGATTTTTAAAAGATACCACATGTGCTATAATCTGCAGGCCAACAGATCTCCTGGAGATCATCTGTCTCCAAGTCAGACAGTATTTAATCCATGTCAGACATACATACCTTTCAGGCCCAGTCTGTCACCAGACCTGAAGAGGAATTTTCACCTGAATGAAGCACAAAGACCAGGCTAACAAAAGACAAGGCTTCCAGAGCACGGAGGCCAGCCCTGAAATGCAAGGTTGGCATTTGACCAGGCAGCCCAAGGCAGTGATGGAGGCCAAAGGATGTCTGCACCATTCCCAAGTGATCAGGTCAGAAGTTGAGCAAGAGAAGATTAGCGTGGAGCAGACGTGCCAGCGGGGCATGTTCCACGGGAGCCGGCCCTGTCAGCTGGAGAAGGGAACTTCTGTTCTCAACTCCTGCCAGGCCCACATCACTTTCCTTCCTGGTCTCACAAAAAGCTGCCAGGCTTTCCTGGCCCCTCGGGGGATGGATTAAAGGCAAACAGACTTGGGTGCCCTTAGCAGCATTATGGGCAGGTGCCCAAAGAGAAAGTGCTGAGCCTTTAATTAAAGTTCACCATGGTTGATTCTCTGAAAGACAGCCTGGAATTTCCCAGCTACTGACAGAGCCAGGCAAGCCAGCAAAGGCTCTCCTGGGTAAAACCAGGAGATGGGGGTCAACGTGGGTGAAATAGTCAATTCAAGGCTCAAGCTCCCTAGCAGAATGGTCTCCCCCAACTGAAGGCTGTCCCCACCACCATTCCCTTTACAAGGTGGGTCCGGCTGAGGAAAACGTGTGTGCACCCTTCTGATGAGAGGAAAGGGAACTTCTGATCCCTGGGGACTTCCCCTAGGAAATTCCTAGTTTAGACCTTTGAGCCCTGCACTGGTCAAAACCCCAATTTCATTTTCTTCTGCCATGCTCCATTTGGGCTTTGCTCCAATTTCTTGGCCTCTTATGTTCCTCATACACATCACATGTCCCACCTCAGAGCCCTTGCTATGGCTATGCCCTTGCCTGGAACACTCCTTCCTCTAACCTCACGCTCACTTCTTTAGCCTCTGCTCCAACATCACCTCCTCAGAAAGGCCTTCTTTAATCACCCCCCTCCCAAACATCTCCTTACCTCTCACCTTGTTTCATTTCTTTTTCATAACACTTACCACTACCTGACATTGTTTCCTAAATGTGTTGATGTTTTTGTCCATTTCTGCTGCTAGAATGTAAGCTCCATGAGAGCAGACACTTTTTCTCTCCTATTCACCATTGTACCTATAATATAATATGCCTGAGACATAGCAGTGGCTTAATAAGCATTTGTTTAATGGATGGCTAAATCCTTATAATAATACCCCTAATGGGGTTACTAGGCCTGTCCCTCCTCTATGTAGAGGTTGAGCACAGCTCAGAGAAGTTGAGTAACTTGTGTAAAGTCACACAGCAAACCTGACAGAATTCAGACTCCAATTCTGAGCTGCCTGATTTCAAGCCTATACGTTAACCATGACATGTGTCTCATAGGTCACAGAGTAGATGATTATGCAGATTTCAACCTCCCAGTTTGCGAAGTATTATGATTTGTTTTCAATTTTAGAAGAAAACTGAAAAGAGCTATCAATCATCCCAAATTAAATTCTCCATTCAGTGATTTACAAAATCCTATAATCCAGAAGCTCATTCACCTCAAAAAGGCAGTCACAGCATGTGTTCCAATTTCTATTTGTTAAATAAACAATACATAAAATGATTATTTAGATAGTTTCTCTTTATTAATGAGCAGCATGAGAGCTTCCAAGTACACATAAGATGGTGATTAGAGACACATGCTCATGGCTAGTCCCCTGATCATTTATCACCCAGTGGTTTTGGCCATTTTACATTGTTTTCATTTTCATTCTTAAATATTGTTTGGGCCGGGATCGGTTTGGCTCAATGGATAGAGCGTCGGCTTGGGGACTGAGGGGTCCTGGGTTTGATTCCAGTCAAGGGCATGTACCCTGGTTTCGGGCATATCCCCAGTAGGGGGTGTGCAGGAGGCAGCTGATCGATGACTCTCTCTCATCGATGTTTCTGACCCTCTATCTCTCTCCCTTCCTCTCTGTACAAAATCAATAAAATATATTAATAAATAAATAAATAAATAAATAAATAAATATTGTTTGGTGTTGCTTGAGTTTTGTTTGAGTTTTGTGTTTTTTAACTCACAACTAATCTTTAAATAAAGATGGGAACATAAAGAACATCAGTGGTGAAATATAGATGTCAATGAGAGCATAAAAATGGCATGAAAGAATTAGATAAATTTGCTTCAATGATATTCACACAGATCCATAAATGCATACAACTGATCAATTTATTATATGATGTATAAAGATATGTCATTATTTTTTTTAAATGTTAAAAGGGGGGGTTATTATATCCAATTGGCTCTTAGTTATTGGGAGTTTAAGATTGTCTCCAACTACTATGTATATAATCAGCAGAAAAATCCTTGCAAATATAGCCTAAAACTTTTAGCTCATCATTTAGGAATGAAGGAGAAATATTAGCTAAT